GCAGTACCTCCGTGCCATCCGCCTTTTTCTCGCCTTTGTACATCAGTGCGTGGGTGAGTTGCTGAGCCTTACCCTGGCCCACCGTTCAGACTTCATCGCAGGCTGCCATGTGTCCCAGGCAGAGGACCGCACAGCACGTAAATGCAGTGCCGTCATGATGAGCAAGGCACTGTCTTGGTTTGCACGCATTGGGCAAATATCCAGCCTGTTAGACTTGATGAGCAGCCCCTTAATCAAGTCTTTCGCCTACAACCCCAAACCACACGATCGACGGGAGGCCTTGCCCTTGCCACTGGCCATTCTTGCAGCCTGGGAGGAACACATAGTGTCCCCCACTTGCACGCCCGCTGTGGGCCTGCTACTAGGTGCCCTGCTTTTGTGCGCCCATTGCAGCCTAAGATTTGGCGACATTCAGAGAATCAAGCCCTCCGCTCTTTCACTGTCGGCACAGGCACTCAGGGGCCTATGTCGGGCCACCAAAACAACCTGCCAAGGACAGCCCTTTGCATGCTTGCCTGTCGGTTTCCGGGGTGAGGATATCAGCACATCCTGGCTAGTGAAGTGGCTGGCCCTGCTGAGTCAAGCCCTTGACGCCACCCACTCCGAATGGGGAGACTCATTTGTGCCAGATTTCATTTTGCCCTGCATTCCAAACCTGGAATCTCACACATGCCCCAGCCTTTCACGCCCGATGTCCTATCTGCAGGCACTGGTTTGCCTTCGTTGGGCCATACAGTTGCCGTGGAAATCGGAAGGAGGTCAGCTGGTTACCCAGCATGAGGCATCTTTGTTCACCCTTCACAGCCTTAAATGCGCCTTACTCAGTGCAGGCCCTGCAGGCCCGCTGCAATCACCCCCACAAGCATCAGAGTATTGCAGGGGTGAAGGAACAAGGGGTAACGGTATACCTCAGCACACTGACTGCAGAATACCCCCCTTCCCTGCCCCTGCAATTGGCCCAAATAGGCATAGGAAGGGTAAGTAAAACAGGCTCCTTCCGGCTAGCGCTGCCGCTACACTCTAACTGCCCTAGCACCGTCACCTTGGCGCCTTGCAGGCTCCCCACCTGTGATGGAGCAGGAATGCACTCCTCAGCGGATTGGTGTCTCCCCAAACCCGAGCACCCTCAGGCAGTCGCCAGGCCCTGGCTGCACTGGATGCATGAGCGCAAACTCGTGCCACGTATCCTGTTGCACACGTCAACAGCGGTTCCTCGGACTGCCCACTCTCGCCCTCCGAAAGCCTGGAAGCGGCAACTCTAGCGTATACCGCGTTAAAACTGCCCTGCCCTTCAGATATGAGCCCCGAAGCAGGACAGCCATACCGACTCCACCTGCTGCATGCCCTGGCCAAATCTTGGGGGGACCCGGACATGGCCCTCCTTCCATTTTTGCAGCACGGAGTGCCGACAGGAGCCGTATCAGCCTTGCCTCCAAGCCTTCAATGGCCAGCAAAGAAGCCAGACTCCATGCCGCAGCCGGATCTGGAAATTTGTGAAGGCAACTGGAAGATGGCCGAAGACGAGCCAGAAACCGTGCAAGGTTTGCTGCGCAAGGAAATTGCTAACAACTGGATTGTTGAAACCAGCCTTAGCATAGCCGACGCTCGGGAAAAATGGCCCTTAGGCATTGCCGTGGGCAAGCTTAATGTCGTGTTCGCCGAAGGCAAAGAACCTCGCCTTGTCTTGGATAGCACCGTGTGCCAGGTCAATACCAGATGCCATTTGCCAGAGCGCCTTAGCTTGCCCATGGCCTCTGATTTGGCGCTGTCCACGCAGCCAGAGGACACTCCAGGTGCCTTCATCGGCGCCAGCATTGACTTTAAAGCCGCACACAAACAAGTGCAGGTCCGCCCGGAGGAACATGGCCTTCTTCTCTTCGCCTTTCAAGGGAAACTCTACCACTACAGGGTGTGCCATTTTGGGGGCCGTTTCTCGGCCTTCTGGTGGCAGCGCACCGGCGCTTTCTTGCTTCGTCAAGTGCATGGGTTGCTAGCCTGGAAGCCGCACAAAGCCTTTCTCTTTGTGGACGACCTGCTCTGTGCACTTGTCCGGGATAGCGCACCAGACATGTTTGCCTTGGCGGTGCTCTTCTTTTGTGCCATTGCAGCACCCATTTCGTGGAAAAAGGTGCAATTCCAGGATAGCCTGGTTTGGTGCGGTTGGGAGATCAACTTCTCTCACGACACCATTCAGCTCATGTCCTCAAAACTGGCCAAGCTGGACGCCTTGATCAAATCCCTGCTGGGAAGCCGACGTGTGCCTCGCAAGACACTCGAGCAGTGCATAGGCCTGCTGATTTGGGCCACCAGCATTGCCCTGCACCTTAGGTCCTGGCTTTACGCGGACCTCAACAGCCCACCAGGCTCCATGCACGCAATACCACCGCAAATGTGGTCGGCCTTTCGAGCATCCTTGTCAAGGGACCTCAAAACTAGTCACAGCCTGCCGGGATTGTGGATCACAGCGGGCTCCAAAATCTTGGAAATTTCAGGCCGTACCTTGCATTGCCTTGAAGACATTCCGCGAGTGCCTGGCACTAGCAAGCCCACATGGGTGCGCATTGCGGACCCCAACAACCCATACACCAGCCTTTCCAAGTCAAGTCAACAATGCCTTACTTGGCTGGCGTCGTGCTTTCGACACTCGCCCATTCAGCCGTTGGCGCGGCCACGCCAGCTGCAAGCTCTGGCTGCCGCCGACGCGTGTGCTGAAGATGAAATGGTGGGGATTGGGGGCTGGGCAATCACATCCTCCCAAGTGGTGTGGTTTGCCGAGACCTGGAACATGCAAAACATAAGAGCCGTGTGGCCTTGCCTTGTCAAGCCAGCGCAGCGGTATATCGCATGCTTTGAAACACTTGCACAGTCAGCACTGCTGCAAGCAACCCACAGCCACATTGGTGGTGGGCACTACTCGTTTAGCATGCCGTCCGGCACGGACAATTCCGCCACGGAAGCAAGCCTTAACAAATTGTTCACGACCTCATGGCCGTTGCAACTTTTTGTGCAGCTAACAGCCTTCTGGGCTCACGCTCACAACGTGCTGCTGCAGCCAACGCACGTTCCAGGAAGGTGCAATGATTGGGCAGACGATCTCAGCAGAGGTCGGTTGGCCCGCTTCAGCCATCGCCCTGAAAGTCGCGTGCGCTTCAGCCCTGCAAGCCTGGCGATGTCGGGCCGAGGCATTCAACTGTGTCCGATGCATGCGCCCTGGCGTCCGGAACACTTGGCAGCAGCTTCCATCGTCGCTGAGCCAGCCTAGCCTGCATCCGACTTGGCCTTCCGAGCCCTTTTCTGCCGTTGCCTTGTCAGCCAGAACAACTGGCAATGTCAGCCAGCCGCTTACACAAGCCGCTCTGACCAGAAAAAAGTGCAGTCACCGTGCCGAGCTGTTCGCAACACAGCGTGCATGGTGACCCTAGCATCTGCCCTGCCAGGTACAACCCCACTCTGAAGGGCGGGTGATGAGGCCTTCGGCCCAGCTGGTTCGCTTTTACCGGGGTTGCCTGAAACACTGAAGGGGGGGTCAATGTGCCTCCTGCTCCAGGTGCACTAGTGCCCTGGAAGCAGTGCAACTTTCAGCAATCCCGGTGAAAGAACTGCGGCCGTTTCGGACGAGCTTTGTTCTTTTGAGGTTTCATGTTTGGGTTCAAGCTAGGAGCAGTGCGACATGCCTTAACGCTTAGGGTTTCTTTTCCCTTGTGTTTAGGGCATGTGGTGAATCGAACTATGCGTTGGCCGTTTTGCTCCTAGCCTTGACCCAAACCTGCGGTTTCATTTCGAAACCCACCCACCCACCCTGCATTGCCCTATGCCAGGCTTTGCCAGGATAGATGGCAGTTTCTCTGCACTTTCGTGGGTCGCCTCCGGGCACCGTGGTCTCCGGACTAGGTCTCCGGACCAAAATCGGTCTCCGGACCTCGAGTCTCCGGACTGTCGGTCTCCGGACCTTGGGGCGTGGGCACGCGTGCCGCGCCCCCCCAAGCACTGCATTTACCCGCAAGGACACGCATTGTCTTGCCTTTTCGGTCAATGTGCCTCCTGCTCCAGGTGCACTAGTGCCCTGGAAGCAGTGCAACTTTCAGCAATCCCGGTGAAAAGAACTGCGGCCGTTTCGGACGAGCTTTGTTCTTTTGAGGTTTCATGTTTGGGTTCAAGCTAGGAGCAGTGCGACATGCCTTAACGGGTTGGCTTTCTGGCTTCTGGCTGGTGGCTTCTGGCTGGCTTCTGGCTGGCTTCTGGCTGGCTTCTGGTTATCTTGGACCTTTTTTGACTTCTTTCTCCCTTGCAGACGCAGCTGAGGGGCAAATTGCAAGCGAATCCCAGGCTTCCTGCTGCAGTTTTGCCCTCAGGATGCTTGCGGGACAAGGTCGTTTCCTGGACGGACGAGCGTAGAATCCCCATAGGTGCGTTAAAACGCGCGCGGCCGTCAGCTTTGTCTGCTTTAGGTACAGACAAAAAGATCGAGCTGCCACTGTTGCCGGAGTTCCACAGAAACCTCTCGGTTTCTCATTTTTCAGTATGAAATCCGAAAGGGGGTGGCGTTGAGGAATCGACCCATGTTACGTACAAATCGTTTTGGATCGCGCCGATGACGTACAAACATCTTTGAGTTGCCCAGTGGCCAATCAGTGCAGGCAGTGGTGTTGCCAGATGCATTCTATTTTGTGTTCACCTTCTGAAGTTTCAGGGAGTCTGCTCGGGATTGGCTGTCTATGACATTTGGTGTGCTTGTGGGTTGTTGGCATTCGGTTTTGTGGCCATTTTGATTTCCAGGGCATTTGCTTGCCTTCCTTTGGTTTTTGCACATTGTGCTGATGGCAGTTGGCAGCCCCCAAAAGAGCTGATTTGCGAGCATCTTTTGTCAGCCGTTTCACTTTTCAAACATGACCCCTGGAAGAAAAACGATTGCATTCTCATCAGGGAAACAAACACACACACACACACCACATATCCCCTATTTCTTGCATCCATTTAGATGATTCCACGAATTTGTGGCCATGAACCCAGAGCTGAGCGTGGTTGGCGAAACTGCCGGCGCGTCCGGCCCGGGCAGCCACACCTCAGCCCGGGCACGGTCGAGGGCATATGCCACCTGCGCCTGGCTGGAGGCGAACTCGGTGAAGGATTCAGTGGCCTTAGTCAGCGATGAGGCGATGCTGCTGCACCTCGGGCCCTCGAACCACCCAGAGCGCCCCGCGAGGCTCGCAGAGATCTTGCACCAGCTGGAGATCTCAGGGCTGAGAGCAGCCTGCGCAAACGTTCCCTCACGGAAGGTGACCAGAGACGAGCTGCTTACAGCCCACACGGAGAAGCACGTGGACCATGTCTTTGCGTCTGCTTCTGTGAAGAAGAAGGGAAAGGATTATGGATTGAGCCCCAGTGAGAAATTGCAAAAAATTATCCATGACTCACATTCCAAGCTTTGCGTTTGTTTTGCTTTCTTGCTTGCTCGCTTGGGTTGATGTATAGTTTGTTTTCTTGATCGGAGCTTCAACTTGGTCGTTTCGCGTTTTGTACTGTTGCAGGCCATTTGGTCCTGACACGTACGTGAATGAGCAATCACCCGACTGCGCTGCATTGTCGGCCGGTTGCTTGTTGGCCTTGGTGGACCATTGCATGGCTGATGAGAACATTGCCACCTGCGGAATGGCATGTGTGCGCCCCCCAGGGCATCATGCCAGCCAGGAGAAGGCCTGCGGCTTTTGCCTTTTTAACAACGTGGCAGTGGCCGTGCGACATGCGCAAAAACAGTACGGGCTCCAGCGGGTTGCGGTCGTCGACTGGGACGTGCACCACGGAAACGGGACCAACGACATCTTCGCCGAGGACGACTCGGTGCTCTTCTTCAGCCTGCATCGCTACGGCAGCACCTTCTTTCCGGGCACGGGCTTTGCGGAGGACGTGGGGAAGTCGAGCGCCCGGGGCTTCAATGTGAATGTGCCACTGGACAAGGGCTTTGGGGACCTCGACGTGAGGCACATCATGCAATACCTGATTTGCCCCCTGATGGAGAAGTTTGAACCAGAAGCCATCTTTGTGTCTGCCGGCTTCGATGCGGTCCTCGCCTCGTGAGGTGCCCATCGTCCCAGCGCGTTTCCTTTGAGTCTTTGAGGTCCGGGGTGATCCGCTGGGGGATTGCCGGGTAACTCCTGAAGGCTTTGGCTGGACCGACCTGTCAAGTGCTGTGCTTGCGATTGCATGGGGCTTCTTGAGGATGACTCGGTGCCTGTACCGTCTTGCTCGACATTTCTGCCAGGCCTTGAGTTGAGCTTGCAAGTTGGCGCTTCGATTGCCGGTCGCAAGGGTCGTCTCTTCCTGTCCTTGGAGGGTGGCTACAATCCTGACATGATCGCGTCCGAGTCTCAGGCCTAGGCACTGGACTGCATTGCATCTTGAGAGGCAGTGCACAGTGGAGCCCGGAGCCAAGCTTTGGAGTTGGATAAGGGTTGCAATTTGACACATTTCACGAGGTGTGTCCGCTCGATGCTGCAAGAAGTTAACGACCTGGCAGGCGCGCGTTTTTGGCTCTTTCCGCGCTGGGCACGCTTGCACTGGTTTGGTCGAGGGCCTGAGATGGAGCTGGTGCCAGCTACCCCTTGCTCCAGCCATCCGGGAACGTGGGCTCCTCAGCTGAGAGAAGCTTGCGAGCCTGTGGGGCCAGGCCAGCATCGATGCCGGCCTGCCTGGCTGGAGCTCACCAGTTGCTTTTGTTGTTTTTTGAGTTCTTTGCGGTTGGGAACCTGCCAGGCCTCGCCTTCCTGGTCGTCCTCGCTGGATGAGGTCACGGGTCTCTGGGTCTCTGTGGCGCAAGCTTTGCCTTGCACCTTGCGGACCTTGCGGACCTTGCGGACCTTGCGGACCTGCTGGCGGACCTTGCAGGCTTCCAGGGCTTCCAGGGCATCCACACCGATCTCAGGCGCTCAGGAGGTACCTGTTCCGATTGCCGTGACTTGAAGTTTCGAGGTACACCGCCGGCATCTCCCGCGTTGAGCGCCGGACGGAAGGAAGCCGTTGGTCGGTGGCAAATGGGGTGGGGGGTTGGGAGACAGCGCAAAGATCAATGGAAGGCTGCGCGCGGTTCGGTTTCCTGTGGACTTCAATACCCAGAAAGGACCCAATCAGACGCAAAGTTTGAAGCCCTGGGAGGCTTGCGGCCCGGCTGGCAAGACGGTGCGCGCAGTTAGGAGAGGTTTTTGCCACCTGGTGACTGGTGTTGCGTGCAAGCAGCGGCTTGTTCCCTCTGCATGTCTGTGCATGTTTCCTGCTCAGAGCGTTGTACTGCTGAAGGCTTTGCTTCTAAGCTTACAGACTTAGCTGCCTTTAAACGCACTCCAGCCGCTTGTGTAGCGCCCAACATTCAAGTGCGTCGGACTCCCAAAGTGGACCTATCCGAAAATGGCTGCGCGGGCAGCAATCCATCTTTGTGGCAGCTACAACGTGGGAGATTTGTTAGGAGAAGGCTTGGCAGCATGGCTTCGTATACGCTTGCTGTCTGAATTTCTGAACTTCTGTTCTTGTTTTTGCATGCGTTTGGGCGTGGAGGCTTCAGCGGCTTCGTATACGCTTGTAGCAAGCACGGCGACGACAGCCAGACCTTCGCGGCGAAGGCGGGTGATTTGCGAGAAGGGATTATCTCCAGAGTTGGTCCATGCTTTTTCTTCTCAAAACTTACAGGAGGTCGCTCTCTTTGTTGAAAAAGATGAGCCATTTGTTTGCTCAGTTTGGAACTTTTCGCTTCGCACTTTTGTTCGCTAGGTGTGTGCTGAGCGGCCGGGTGCAGCCGAGGAGATGCGCTCCGAAGTTTCGCTACTCCAAAATTTGTGCCACAGCGCCCCGGCGTGCGCAGTTGGCGCCTAAAATCCCCAAGAGTTGTAACTAAAGGATTTTCACTGGGATGTCTTCTCGGAATGAAGTGGTCTTTGGGCTCATTCCTAGAACGGGGGGCTCCCTCAGAAACGGGGGCGAGTCTTCCCTTGCGAAGACATTTTCGTCCAACCACGTTTTGACACTGAACAGTCCCATTGGAACCCATGGCCGCGCCCAAACCCGAGAACGCATGGCGACCTGGGTTTTTATCCCCGGCCCTGGAAAGCAGAACAAATACCAGCTGTCTTCCGGGGATGCATAGATTGAAGCACACAGAGGCGGTTTTGGAGCTTCAGATGTCTTTGGAGGGAACAGGCTGCGTGAGCTGAGGTTCGATCGTCAAGATTCATGACATTTTTGATGATGGCAAATCTGTCTACTTTGTCATGGACCGTCTGCATCACGATCTTCTGGATGGACCGCTTTTCTCTGCTTCTTTGAGGGGCGTCTACTCCCAAAGGCACCATACCCATGGTGACGCTGAGCCCCGATGCCTCAAGCCGAAGTCTCTCTGTGTGAGCTTTGCTGCATCTTCACTCGCGCATTCGGCCAGCATTTGCCAGGACTTCACAGCTATGGCATGAGGCAGGGCATGCCGCAAGTTGATATTTTCTCAAGTTTCTCTTCGCCAGGGAAAGCGTCGATATGAACAATCTGGTGCATGTAGTTCGACAGATGGCCACAGCAGTGCGATATCTTCACAGCGTGGCTGTCGTGCATCGCCACCCGGCGACTTGCGTTGCCTCTTCGGGCGTGTGGGGCGTGTGGGGCGTGCGGGGCATGCGTGGGGGCGCGTGGCATAAGGTGATGTCAAGCCCGACAACTTTTTGACCGATCGGGAGAGGCTCACTGAGTCCTGTCAGCAGAAACTTACGCCTCTCGGTGTTTCTTACACCTTTCAGCTGTTGTCACAGAGGGCGTAATTACCTACTCTGACATCGATGTAGATATGTCCTCCCACACGAAGCCCCTTTCCAAAAGGAAAGTAGTCTCTATACAGGGGTCTGTGCAATTCCATGTTAGTCGGTGGAGGGTAAATACGGATGGTGCAGACCGAAAAAATGTTTTGCTGGCCAAAGGAGGGGAACATCCGGGGTGCATGACATCACCATGTCAGTGGATCGATATGGACTCAGGACCCCAATTGCAAACTGGTGCTTGCAGACTTCGGGTCAGCCTGCAAACTGTCGGTCAACGCCCGGCTGGAAGAGCAGGCATCCGCATAGGCTTGCTCTAATCACATCCTTTGAGCCCAAAAGCTCTGATCATCTTGGGTCTTTTTCTCAGACGGTTGAATACAGCTTGCGGGAAGACGGGTTGATCGAGTCAAGGCAAGAGAGAGAGAAAGAGAGAGAGAGAGAGAGAGAGCGATAATCCGATAGGGGCTGCCAGGTTGGAACCAAGATTTACTGGGCGCCAGAGGTTTACGATGCTCGTCAGAAAGAGGTCAGTTGATCGGAGCACTCTTCACTGACTAAGGACGGAAACTATGGTTTTGGGGTGGACGTGTGGGCATTGGGAATTTGCCTTCACTGCGTGGACGCCTGCCTTGACTTCCGCAGTCCCTTTCCGATGCATTGTGGAGAGCAACTTGCATCTCAGAAGCCAAGGCAAGCAATACGTTTCCATTTGCTGACGAGCAGGAGGTCCGAACCAAGAATATCTACCTGCGGTACGTCAATCGACAATGCCGCCTTGACTGCAAAGCCGCTGTTTTGCGAGGGGTTCAGTGCAGAATCACGTCGGCAAAATCGTGGCGTTGGTGCAAGGTAGGAACCTGGTCTCAGCCATGCTACAGAAGGCAGGACAAGTTGCTTCTCAAGCAATATCCGTTGACCGCGAAGACTATTTGCTCACTTCTTGAGCAAGTCACTCTCGCACAGGTTGAGGAAAAGCGGATCAGCATGGAGGAGGTGCTGTGGCACTCATGGATGACTGGTGAAGACGACAGTGAACCAGCCTCTCGACGTGCACAGAACATGCGCGGGTAAGTGGCAAATTGAATGGGTTGATGTCTGCACTGAACCACAGGAATCTCCAAGTGACTCTTGCAAAAAAAACCACTTGCCGCTCATAACAGGTGTGTGGTTTTAGGGTGTAGGTCTTAGATAAACCAGTCTTTACCGAGGACGAGATCATGGACTCTTCCCTGGCCCGGAGGCCTTCTGGACTCAGAGAGCGAATGCAAAAACTGAGCCTCTGAAGCCGAACTGAAGTGTTGCTGTTGGATCCTGCAGCTTCCAGCTCACGCTTCCCTGTTTCCTATTTTTCAACTCGCGCCCCCCGCCTGTGATTTTCGGGAATCCGGCTTTCAGGTGGCTGCGTGATGCCGAGATGCGCCTTCCCTCCTTTGCGCGCTTCGATCGCAATCGGAAGAGGAAGGCTTGGCCGCGGCTGGCTCTTCCCTTGATTGCCGGTCTGTTTGTGGCACGAATTGCTCTCCGTCTTTGTCCAGGCGCAGGGCTTACGGTTTTTGGCTGCGTTTTTGCAAGAAGATTCCATGCCCTTTCAACTTTCCGGCAAGGTTGGGATGCTCCAGTGCGATGGAGCCCGGTCATTGACCGAACCACGTGCATGCAAAAGCAGCACGTGCGAGGAAACGACCGGTGGGTCTTCCGGCGTCTCCGTGGCACGCCCACGTGCAAGGCGGCCGTACGCCCGCGCGAACAGTGAGACAGGGTGAAATGCGATGGTCTTAGCCTTGTTCCCCGAGTTCCTGGAAAAGGCACTGGGACATTGGACACTGAGCAGTAGATTCCGCAGTCAATTTCGACTTTTGCCCGACTGTCTCAGCCTGGACCGGAAAGCAGAGATCCGAGATCCTGTTCGCCTGTTCCCCGCCCTTTTGCTGGGGCTAAGTATCGTTTCACAGTGGTTCTAATGGGGAATCATTCAATCCTATTCTTGTACAGTACCTCGCAGCTTCTGTGTCTGTGAGCGGCTTGGATTTGCTCAGTTGTCTCCAACTGATGATTAAGATCACTTTTGAGATGCCGAAGGTTCTGAGCTTTGGCGAAAATAACGATCATATTTTCAACTCAGAACCTATTGCATCGGAGAACTCTCCAATGATCTCCGTTCTGATGCCGGCATTGGCCCATCAGCCCATCCGCAAGACACGAGGGGGCAATGAAACTTGCATTGACCCACGCAAAATACGCGTGTTTGTCTTTGCTTTCCGGATGCAATCCCTTTTTTCCAAGCCACTGGGACGCATAGAGGGTGGTCGAGGGGGGCGCTGTGCCGCGCGAGCGGGAAAAGCGGCGTGCTGCGTTGTGGCGATCCAACTTGTTTCGGAGCCCTGATTCCCGTTTTTCTCCGTTCCTTGCTTCTTGGCCCCCAAAGAAGGCCAGGTCGCGCTCCCCAACACTAAATGCCCCGCGCCAGCAAAGTAAGCCTCGATACTTCAGAGTCTACTCTTAGAACTAATTACAGTAACGAGAAATGAAAAACAACTTCAGAACCACAAAACAAGCACACGTACGAGAATACTCCTCAACAAATGCACGTGAACGAGCAAAGTCAATTGATCAGACAAGTACACAGCTCGAAGTCTTTGTCGGTTTTTGGATTGTGTTTTGGTTTGACTCGCGACGCGCGACTCGCGACTCGCAGGAAGGCGACGGAGCTGCTGCAAGTCTTGCCCATGGACGTGCCTCTGGCGCCAGTGGGCGAGGGCCGCTGGCTCAGGGCAAAACGCTAAGGAGGGGTTTTAGGGTCTTTTGGTTTGAGATGTTTTGGGTTTTTTGTTTTTCCCGAAAGCATGGCGAAGGGTTCTTCCGCTGGGTTCACTTGAGTTGTTCTCATGAGAGTCATTACAAGGTGTCATTGCAAGGAATCATCATCATGAAAGTCATTGCAAGGAGTCATTGCAAGGAGTCATTGCAAGGAGTCATTGCAAGGAGTCATTGCAAGGAGTCATTGCAAGGAGTCATTGCAAGGAGTCATTGCAAGGAGTCATTGCAAGGAGTCATTGCAAGGAGTCATTGCAAGGAGTCATTGCAAGGAGTCATTGCAAGGAGTCATTGCAAGGAGTCATTGCAAGGAGTCATTGCAAGGAGTCATTGCAAGGAGTCATTGCAAGGAGTCATTGCAAGGAGTCATTGCAAGGATTGCATTGCAAGGGTGGGGGCTTGCAACTTGCACTTGACTTGCACTTGACTCCTTGCACTTGCAACTTGCACTTGACTCCTTGCACTTGCAACTTGCACTTGACTCCACTTGCACTTGCAACTTGCACTTGACTCCATGCACTTGGCTCCTTGCAACTTGCAATGGCTCTCATGACTCCTTGCAATGACTCCTTGCAATGACTCCTTGCAATGACTCCTTGCAATGACTCCTTGCAATGACTCCTTGCAATGACTCCTTGCCATGACTCCTTGCAATGACTCCTTGCAATGACTCCTTGCAATGACTCCTTGCAATGACTCCTTGAAACAAGCAAGGAGTCAAGTGCAAGTTGCAAGTGCAAGGAGTCAAGTGCAATTGACTTGCGAGGAGTTAAAATCTCTTCTTAGGGCGGCGGGGTAGTGCCGACGACACTACTCTTCGACCTCGACGCCGACCCTCTGCGGGGCGTGGTCCAAAAACCATGTTTTTTTGCGATTTCTAAAGTGCCCGCGCGACCCTCTGCGGGGATCGGCGTGGTCGAGGTGCAAAACCCATGGTTTTTTGCGATTTCTAAAGTTCCCGCGCGACCCTCTGCGGGGATCGGCGTGGTCGAGGTGCAAAAACTCAAGGTTTTTTGCGACTTCTGCGGTGCTCGCGCAACCCTCTGCGGGGATCGGCGTGGTCGAGGTGCAAAAACCCATGGTTTTTTTGCGATTTCTTGCGGTGCTCGCGCAACCCTCTGCGGGGATCGGCGTGGTCGAGGTGCAAAAACCCATGGTTTTTTTGCGATTTCCACGGTGCTCGCGCAACCCTCTGCGGGAATCGGCGTGGTGCAGGTGCAAAAACTCGAGGTTTTTGCGACTTTTGTTGTTCGAACTGGTCCTCGGGAGTTGTCTCGTGGTTCGCGCGCCTGCTCCCGGAACCGGCGGGTCGCGGGTTCGATTCCTCCCTGGTCCGCGGGCGGGCGTCGCAAGATGCGACTTGCATTTTAAAGCAACTTGCGCAGAGCAACTTGCGCAGAGCAAGTTGCACAGAGCAACTTGCGCAGACCAACTTGCACCGACCAGTTTGCGCAGAGCGCCTTGCCTAGAGCAACTTGCGCAGAGCAACTTACGCAGAGCAACTTGCACAGAGCAACTTGCACAGAGCAGCTTGCACAGAGCAACTTGCAGGGAGCGCAATTTGCACAGAGCAACTTGCAGGGAGCCACTTGCAGGGACCAACTTGCCGGAGCAACTTGCGCGGAGCAACTTGCGCAGAGCAACTTGCACAGTGCAACTTGCGTAGAGCAACTTGCGCAGACCAACTTGCACCGACCAGTTTGCGCAGAGCACCTTGCCTGGTGCTGTCTCGCGCTTGCTTCACGAATGCTTCGTGTAGGGAAAAAGAACGCATCCTGCAGCGTTGGGCCGACCTCGCTTGCGATGTTCTGCTTTCGGGCCAACCGTGGTCTAGTGTTACGGTCCGTGTGATCCATGTGAGATTTGACAGAATCTGATCACAGTTACGGTCCATCAAGGGAAGAGGGTCGTTTGTTTGAGGAGCCAGCAAGAGTGCCAAGAAGAACGAGCAGCTCGGTCAGAAAGACTTCCTCGAGGGAATCTTGGCCCAGGGACAGTTTTTTGGCTTTCTGGCGCTTCCAGGCGGCGGAAGCAGCGCAAGAACAGCGCTGAGGAGGACCGGGATGTGAGTCTGAAAGTCCGAGTCTGTGAATTGTCAGGATGGGGCCTCAAGTGACTCCTCCGGCTGGGCCATTGCGTTTGCGGCCCAAGCCAAAATGTCTCACGCACACCTCCGGCTTTTTCCCACGCGCAACATCGCGCAACCCAGGTGTGGAACAGACGCTGAATTTGCGTTCTCCCCCGCTATGAGGCACGCGGCTCTCCCGAGGTGTCTTGGCAGGAGCTTGCGTAACCCAAGCCTGAATCTCACGCGAAAGAAAGGCATCGCGGTTAACTAATCTGCCATGGCTCTCATAAAGCATTGAAGGAAGGGAAAAGCACGCAGGGGAAGGCAGCGTTCCTCCTCGCACGACCACGACTTGCCAGCGACTCAGAATCTCTGAAATCCGCGACATGTGCAATGCTGCAACACCCGTTCGCATTTTGTGCTTCCAAGGCCGGAGTTGGAGTTGCCGCCGCCCATGCCGGAGGCTGTGGCAGTGGTGGATCCCGAGGCGAGGAGAGGGGGGCACTGGATTGATCCTAACGTCTTTCTTGCACCGCACTTTGTGACGAGTTTTTCTACGTCCTTCAACAAGGCCAATATTATGAGTTGAATATGTGTCGTGCGTTGGGACATGCAACGATTGAATCAGAACGTACACAAACAAATTCATCAATGACAAACCCAAGCAAGGTAGGCATAAGCCCCAGCCCAGGTTAAGTTTAGTAGGGGACAGGCACACAGTTGGACAGTGCGGGTTGCTGTCAGGTCAAAGCACCCGAGGAATCTGGTCAAGCCAAGTCCAAACAGACACTTGGTAGTGAGAGTTTCAAAGTGCCCGTCCTGCTGGATACCCAAGGAAGAAGAAGTCAAAGAGAAAATAGGCGGGTGGCCCGGTTCTCTTCTCTGCGCGGCAGACGCAACATGACCTGCTTTTTGAGGTGAGGGAAAACCTGGCCAGCTCGCGAAGTTTGGAGACGAGCAAAGTGCTGACATGAGCATAGCATGAATGCGGAACGCATAGTCAGCCATACCCCTTGAACATGTTAGTCTGACACCCGTGGCTCAAGGGGCGCTGCATTCTCAGGAGATGTCACGTGTCTAACGGGCGTTTTCGGGGTTCAGCCTGCAATTCTTGCAACGACAAACCTTGAAGCTCTCTGGACGGCCCGGACTGGCTGTGGTTTCTTGGCCTTAGAGGCTGGCATCCTAGTGCACACGAGTGTTTTTCAAGAGACGACATGGTCGCATGTGGGTGAGCCCCTCAAGTGGGGCGACATGGGCATGGCCAGCTGAGGTCGACCGCAGCCATGGACCGAAAACGGATGAGCATCGGTGCGGTCATCCCCCCCACGGTGGGCTCCAGATCCGTCGCCACCACCGAGAGGGAGGCGTCACTCGAGTCTTTTGGCGGTGATTTTGGCGTAAACGTGAGCCATGCCATGCCAGGCTGGCATTGCTGAGGCAAGGTGTCATGCTCGCAAAAAGCCCACTGGCTCACTCGGCACGCGTGCCAGGTGTTCACTAGAGCGAGTGAAGAGAAGGCCAAAGCCATCTATGTCACCGCCCCGAAGAAATTGCACTTTGAGTCGCTCCTTGGCAAGCGATGCAAGCGCTTAGGTGACCTCAGTTACAGACCGGGACCTGCAGAGTCGCCAGAGCTTCACTGAGAAGGCCGCAACTGTCCAGTTTTTCTGCCACAGGTTAAGGGGAGAGGGGAAGGATTTTGAATTGCAAGATTCGCTTTCGCTGATTTGCACTGACATGCACAGTGCCCTTGTGGGCGAATTCAGGGGCTCCACTTTGTTGTGAAGGCTTCCGTGGTTCAGCCTTTCTTCAGGACAGGGTGGTGCTTGTTCCCCCAGGATGCGACGAGCAGGACCTAGAAAAGCAAAGTCGCAAAAAGCTGCCCAATATCTTCTGCCAGGAGATGGAAGATTGGGCAAAGGCACATATCGGCTGTGGCTGCAGAAAGGGCCTGAAGCCAGAAAGCCCAAATCAGGACCCGGTAGGAGTCCAGGTGAGAGTCGAAAGAGCAGTTTGGAGGACAGTTTCTCCATAGTCATGGTGGAGAATGACTTCGCCTTTTGTTTGCACATGGCTGAATGTGAGTCGTGGCCCTTTTGGCAGCTTTTTTTCACATTCGGTGTGGAAGGCTATGTATGGAGTTTACGATGGTCACGGGCCAGCTGGACATGACTGCTCTGACCTGTCTTTGAGGCGTGTCGTCTGGAGCGTCGTTTTTCTCTTGCAAGCAACACCTTTCCAAACAAAGGAAGCTCTGCAGCGCGTTTTTGAACGACCCGGACCGCGAGAGAGACCCTGCAGCTGTCCTTACAAAGGCACCGCTAAATGTCACGATGCCAGGAACAAGTGCTATAGACCTGCCTCAGGTTTTCCTCGAGACACAGGAGATCTTGATGAAGCAGGGTCAATTTGACACCAGCGGTACAACCTGTACCATTGTGTGCCTGGGACACTGATTGGCCTCTCTTCGAAAGTGTCGACAAGCTCTTCTTGCAAGTATGCCACAAAAGATGCTTCAATGATCAACTATCGGATGGCGCCACCGTTGATTTAGTTTGGCTGCGTGCAAGTGGATGCAAGTCGACTTAATTTGCTCTTGGCAGCTGCACTTGCTTTCTCGCCTTGCGGCTAGTCCCGCTACCCTTGCAAGCCAGGTATCATGATAGAAAGCTTGACAAGCTCACCATTGCTCATGCCGCTCTGCTTACAAATGCTGTGGTTTTGTTAGTGCCCATTTCCGGGGTTTTGCGAAGGTGGGTGATAGCAGAAGCGTGCTGGGCAAGAAGAAGGACGAGTCTTCGCCGTGGGAGAGCTTGGAACTGACCACAGACCACAAGCCGGACCTTCCCAAGGCCGCAGCTCCGCACGCTTGAATCGAGCTTCAATTTTTCGCGTCCGGGAGCCATCAGGAGAAGGCACGCATAGAAAATGCCAACCCACCTGGCCGGGTTGTCTTCGATGGCTGCTTGACTGAAGCTAACCCTTTGGCGGTGCTTGAGTGCGGAATGCCAAGCTACGTTGAGCTCAAGCCAAGGCTACTATAACCATCGCGTGTTCGCGCAGAACGGTATGTATCCAGGCTCACGTTGTAGAGCTTTGACCATAGATTTAAACTTCCGCCTTGTTGGGGGAGGTACTGTTGGCGCGTGTGCAGGTCTCAACATGTCGCGCGCCTTGGGCGATGTGATCGCACACAGAGAGGCTCCTCCTTCAAAGTGCGAGAGAACGTGAACCTTGGCGCTCTCTCTCTCTCTCTCTCTCTCTCTCTGGCTCTTTCTCTGTCTCCGTCTTTGTCCGACGCATCTCTTTGGCGCTGGCACTCTGCCTCCCTTCCCTTGTTCTACCTCTCTCTTTCCTCTCCCCCTCTTTTTCTCTCTTTCTCTGTGGTCACATTAATGCAGACGCATAGTAATTGCATCCAATGTTTGCACAACTCCGTTATTTGCCGGATTCTACTCGGCTGGGGGAATCAGTTTGATTTGAGTGTCAGGCTGGCCTCACCGCAGAGCCAGATGTTTGTGTCATCGACCTGAAGGCACAGGGCCTCCCCTCGCTCGAGCCCATTGCTGTTCCATGCACCCGCGTGGCAACAGTTGGACGAAACATGTGAACATTTTGCATAAACAAGTCACTGACTGTTCATGCTGACTGGCTCGAGGGATGTCTAGGGGCCATCTTAGCGTGGACATGGAGGCTCTCAGTGGGCCTTGCTGTGCACGGGCTGTTGACGAGGGCCCACCAGAGATCCTCCCTGTTGACGAGGGCCCTGACGAGGCACCGGACATCATCCAGCCACTTTCTGTCTTTGAAAGCGGAATCGATGCGCTGGAGATGGTCCAAGTTCGTTTGAATGCTCTTCAGAGTCGAATCGAACGCGTGGAAGAGCTTGAGCTCCGGGTGGCCAGTCTTGAAAGCAGAGCTGGACAAGATTCAATTGATGGAATCTTCAGCCTGGATTTTAGGGCCCTAAAGCAGGCTCCATCACGGAGCACAGACAAGCTCACTGACGAGGTGACAGAGAGCTTGCCAACAAGCTCCAGAGCCATTAATCCATCAGGGCCTCCGCGGTCTATTCAGCTGCTACAACAATCCTTCTGGGATGCAATCTTCATCTTGGGTTTGGGTGGCCTTGGACTCCCAACCACCGTGTTGGTGGCCATGGGAACTTTGCTGAGCATCTTCTCCCAGTCTCTGTTTTGCTGGATCGTTTACGCTGCTTTTTTGCTACCGGATCCAAAATATGATCCTGCGTGGCTGGCGGGTTGGCGTTTGCTGGTGGGACATTCAATCAACGGCTACGATGCCAACTCAGACTCCTCCTTGGTGAGTCGTGCCTGCCGCGGCAAGCCTTTCGACAGGGAGTGGTGGACGAATGCACTGTTGAATGAAATTGATGACTATTTGGCGCCCTTGCTGTCTCAAGACTTCACAGTGGGATTTGTCCTAAGCAGCATGGCAGTGGCCATTTGGCTGGCCTACATTGCCAAGGAGCTGCAAAGGTGTGCAAGACTCACGATGAACTTGCTGGCAATCCCAACTGGTCCAACTCAAGTGGTGGATATGCAGAACGCTGATGGGAAAGGGTTGGTGCATTCGAGCTCCAAAGGAAGCATGGGCAACTTGACCAATATGCGGTATTTGCGCAGTTTCGTCAGCATAAGTAGAGCGCGGAAGTCGCTGCTTTTGCTGGTATCCGGAATCCGGGCTGCTTTAGCGATGCTGCTGGGTTTCTTTGGAGCTTTGTGGCTATGTCGAACTCGGGATATTGCAAACATCGTCCAGAACGGAGTCTCTTTGGTCTTTGTCCTGGAGATTGACGAGCTTCTTTTCGAGCTGTTTGCTCCACACCATGCAAGTCGTTTTGTGACCTCCATATCGAGAGTGGAGAACCAGCAGAGGCCAGCATGGGTTTACAATCTCATCAGCAGTCTTCAATTACTAGCTTTCTTGGGAATTGTGGTGGCATTTGTGTCTTTGGAGGTAGTGGGAAATACAGATTCGGCTCGAGCGGTCCGGAACATTATTTGCAATGGCAACCAAGATTTTATCATCGAGTCGCATACCAAGGTGGGGCCTATCTTTGTGACCGACACCTCCCCCTTTGAAGATGGAAATTTGGACAATAAGATGCTGCCAGGAATTCTTCCACTCCTGCAAGACGTGTCCAAAGCCTACCAACCTGGAGCCAAAGATTGGATGTGGAGGGCTACTCTGGAATTACGTGGTGCAGTTGCTGTCAAACACACCCCTACAGTACGGGACTTCAATTCTTGGCTGACAATGGATCAATTTCAAGTGGCAGATCAATCCACCTACGGCTTTAGTAACTGGTTTGGCAACAGTTGCAAGGACCAAGGTCGTGACTTTTGGGAAGGCGACTGGCTTTGGAGCACTGCCACAGCTTTGACCGGAGCTACCGACTGTGCCAGCGCCGAGCCTTTCTGTGGAGAAAGGGACCTGCCGCTGATTCGCATGCTATGCCCCGAAACCTGCAAGTGCAGCACTGCTGTTGCAGGCCAGTTTCTCTCCAACGGGTGTCGCCTGGGATGCACGGAGGAGCCTCACTTCCTGAACTCATCCTGCAAAGACTTCAGCGAAGATGATGTGGAGAAGAAGAAATCTTGGGATTACTACTGGATGCAGTTCTACATCAACAACAAAGGTTTTTGGCTGGAGGAAAACGAATTGATGGTTTTTGCAAAGAATGGTTCTCAAGGGAATTGCTCCGTGCTCGCTTCGCAGTCATGGATGCTGAATGAGTTTTGCTTCCAGTATCACAATGACTGGGTCGCTCGTCGCCCGTTGACGGCCTTCTGCCCAGAAACCTGCGGTTGTTTGGAGAATCCCCGCCCTGTGTCACCGATCAGCACGAGCATAGGCGCATGGTGCCCCAGTACATGCCCGGTTTGAAAGCCGCTTGGGGAGGCCTACGAGGATTGATGCTAGGGCACTGGGCTTAGGCCCGGGCATCGCCCATTTTTCCTGTTCTCACCTGTGCTGCACGCGAAGCGTGGAGGGCACATCTTGAACAGAAACTAGTATGAGACCAGAAGCGCTTGGTAAAAACATACGGACTGGTAGGCATGCGGTCCAAGAACTTGCAAGGGTTTTGACAGCGTCAGCCATAAGTTCAGACGAAAGGGTCAGGTCTGTATCGTGCCGATTCTCAGCGCAAGGCGGAGCGTGAGAAATATGCCAAGCTAATGCTCTTGGTGTGCACCGACGGAGTTGCCAAACTGCAAAGAGCGCAAAGAGTCTGAGTTGAAACTCGAAACAGATCGAGCGATCGAGCCCAGGTTTGGGAGTTCATTCTGAGTCATGAGGCCGCGGATCCGTTCCGAGTAACTGCATGAGGCTTGCTTGGTTTTGGGCTCAGGCCATCAGCATTGTGCAGAAATTCCCGGACTGCCAGCAGGCCGGCGGCTCGGGAGTGATTGAGGATTTGAGGGACACGTTGCCAGGCAGTGGAACGGCTCATGAAGGAAAGCTGGGATCGGTGGATGAAAGACTCTGACAACGCCGTGCGCCCAGACGGGCTCGCTAAATCGGGACTGAGGGAAGTTTTGGGCACAACATGTTGGTCGTGCCCACGAAAAGTTGAGTTGGGGCATCCATGTCCGTCTCACGCAAGACTTCTTTTGGCGTATGCATCAAGAGTAAACACGTTGGCTTCCCAGACGACTCCCCAAGCAGCGAGCATGTATGCGCAGCAACAAAATGTACACTCAACTTCAGTTCACTAGCGGAAGAAGTGCTGCATGCTGCTGTTGTACCGGACACACGTGCCGCGCATGTTTTGGGGCAGGGCAGAACCCCCCCCCTTTCCCCTGGAGTTAAATTTTTTCTGGGCATCCTTGGCCTGGTCTCAGGAGATCACAGACGATATCACCGCAGTTCTGGTCTACTTGTGAATGGAGACGCCTTTTGGTCCAGAGCCGCTAGGAGTGGGCCCCTTCCCATGGGGGCTCACTGCTCCAATGTTCTTGCGCCAGAGGTGTCTGGCTTGAAAGCTTTCTTTGGGTACCAAGTCCTGAGACGCGGAAGCTCTCAGAAGTTGCATTGTCACCATGATGACGGCAGCCAAACAAGCAAACCAGCAGCAAACTTGCACAGGCTACGGTCCACCGACCAATATTGTCACTCCTTTAGAGTTGAAACACCGCGTGGAAACAATGCAAATGCTGCGATGCCCTGGGTCGACATCCCAGAATCGATGTTATCACAGATCAGATCAAGAATCGCTGGACGCGTTGAGACGAAGCCAAATGTGCCCACTGCGCATTGGTCTTCGGTCTGAGAGTGCTGCTGTGCCACAGGGGCATGCGCGTGCACCTCGAATTGCGATTCAGCATGCGTAGAGATGGCATGCCATTCGGCGCAGGTCGTGTGGGGTGAAATCGCTCGAGCACGGCTTGTCACGTGCCACAAGAGAGGTGCATGGCGGCATTGCAGGGTTTCCAATCTGTGGGGCCAATGGGGATGTGTACTGAGTAGTTGGATCACGAAAAGGGTGTATCACGTGTCTTTAGTCACTCAGATCCTTGACGTCGCAAACCAAACCTTCCGGGCAAAAAGGTGATCTATCGATGCTCGACGTGCCGCCTCAGTGTTTCGTGTGATGGAAGCATGTTGAGCGCCAGAGAGAGAGAGAGAGAGAGAGAGAGAGAGAGAGAGAGAGAGAGAGAGAGAGAGAGAGAGAAAGCGAGAGAGAGAGAGAGAGGAGAGAGGGGGATAGAGAGAGAGAGAGAGAGAGGAGAGAGGGAGGGAGAGAGAGAGAGAGATAGATAGAAAGCCAACTTTGATTTTCGGGGTTCATGAACCAACCGGGCAACTTGTGCCAGGTTGGAGGCACAGCATGGGATCTTTGTTGCCGGTCCCAGCGTGGCTCAATGGGATGGGATCCGAAGTTTCGGCACAACCAGCCATGATGAACCCAACAAGCTTTTAGATTCATTTTAGATGAACACATCCGCAGGTAACAAGTTCTAGGGTTTCCTAAGCAGATCATGGGGAAAGCGCGCGGCTGGCAATCGGCCGCGGCAGCCTCTAGTTTGTCTTGGCAGCTGTTTATCTTGGTACTTTGCATTTGTTGCATGTCAGGATTTCAATCGCTTCTGTTGCGAAAGTACTCCAAGGTTTTGCGCAGGCGGTATGCACAGGCCGCGAATGCTCTGAACGGCACTGTTCCCTGGAGAGGTGTGGTGGACTTTGTGGAACAGGGATTGAAATCGAGGGGTCGAACCCCTTTGACGCTGACCTACGCCCAGAGCCTTGATGGGAGCATCGCCGCGCACACAGGCCGCGTGTTGATCAGCGGCCAGGCCAGCATGACCATGACCCATCAGCTACGGACCATGCATGATGCCCTGTTAATCGGGTCCGGAACTTTGCTCGCGGACAACCCGAAGCTGACAGCGCGCCTGGTCCCAGGGCGCAGTCCCTTGCCTGTGGTGCTGGACTCCCGACTCAGGACGCCTCCGACCTGTGGCCTGGTGGCGGCAAGAGAGAGCGGAGACGGCGACGGAGACGGGCGGTTGCCCAGGTTGGTGATAGTGACCACCCGGGGCGGTCCAGCGGACAAGTGGGCACGTGCAAAGGCTTTGGACAGGCTCGGAGTGCACATCCTGGAGGTTCCGGAAGAACTCGGGCGATGCTCGCTGGAAGATACGCTTCTACAGTTGCAGGCCATGGGCTGCAACTCTGTCATGGTCGAAGGAGGCATGGCAGTGATCGCTAGCTTCCTGGCAAGGCCCGAACTAGTGTCCAACGTGGTGGTGACTGTGAGCCCCAAATTCCTCGGGGGCTTGGGCCCATGCTCAGAACTGGCCGCGCGCGGTTCTTCTGACCTGCTGAGCATGGACCAGATGAGTAGCTGTGCGGTAGGCAGCGACATCGTTATTTATGGCGCGGCTGCATCTTCACCGGTCCAGCCCGTGAATGGGCATGTGAATGGTGTGAATGGTGTGAATGGTGTGAATGGTGTGAACGGAATGAACCGTGCCCAGCCTGTTGACGGCCTTCCGACCTGAACTCAGAGAGTGGGGGCGCAGGGGAAGCAGTCAATGACTCGAGGTTCCATGGGAGTCGATCGGGATGCCGAGGACCGTTGACCTGCGCAGCAGCTGCCGCATGTGGATCGAGGTGCGTGACAGCCCCAACTGTCGGGAGAAGCGCTTCGCCTTGAAACGAGGCTGTGGAGTCAGAGTGCGACTTCAAGGCCAGTCACTCAGTCACGTCTCAGCTGAGAGAGCTGAGCTTCAGGTCTACGGGACCGCAAAGGAGGGCCAGGAGATTGTGGCCCTTATCAAGGGCAACGTCGAAGGAGCCGATGACGTCCCAGCTGCCCTGCAAGAACAGTTCCAAAACGGATGGAATGGGACTTGCCGGGAAAGGCAGACGCCGTCTTGCGAGGCTTTGTTCAACTTCTCAGGTGCGAGTTCACTCGGAGTGCTTCACCGGCGATGTCCTGGGCTCCAAGCGCTGTGACTGCGGCCCCCAGCTGCGCAGCCGAAGCCTCGGATTGAGACTCCGAAAGACGAGAAGACAAAAAGAGGAAGAGACGAAGAGACGAAGAGACGCCGCTCTCAGGCTTTCTGGACATTCTTCAGGAGGAGCCCAGGGGAGTTCTGCTCTACATCCGAGGAGTGTCTCATCAATCTTTGGCTTCCGGAAGGGCGAAGTTTCTTTGTCCCGCATTCCATAGCAGCTATTTAATGCCGCTTCAGGAGACGAGGGCCGGGGCATTGGCCTCGTGGACAAGATCCGTGCCTATGAGCTGCAGGAGAAGGGGCTGGACACTGCCTGGAGCCCCAACGAACCGGTTTTTCTCGGTCCGGGGTTTGCTTCGAAAATGAGACTGGGTGGTTTCTACAAATGAACTGGTTGGTTTGGGAGAAGCAATGCCCATTCTGGCATTGCCGAGCATGAGGCCGCAAAAAAAGTAAAAGCAGCCGTTCCCTTTTCAAGGGGAGTTCAATTCGGTAGTTGGACCACCGCCCACAGCCGCCCGTGGGACGAACTCCATTTTTTGGTGTTTTTTGTGTTTGAACTCCATTTTTCCGTGTTTTTTGTGCTTTCTTGCTTTTTTGGTGTGGTGAGGGGGGGGGAAAAAATGGAGAAAGTAGGGGGCCTGGGGGGTGGTCTGTTGATGGTTGCCTGTTCTGGTTTTTATGTTCATCTCAAATCTATGTTCCCCCTTATTCGTTTTGAAAAGAGGGTTTTTAGGGAGCTTATTTATCGTTTTCGTTAAGGTAATCATTTGGGTAAATTGTCGCCTTGTTCATTGTTGGGCTGGGGGCAAACATTTTTTTCATTTGAAAGAGTTGACCCTTTTAGTAGTTATCAAGTTCTGGGGTGTTGCTGGGTCGTTTGTTTTCTTTGACGTTTATCTCTACAATTATTTATTTTCGTTCTACACTCTTGACAATATTTATATCTTTTTCCACTTTTTACATTTCCAAATTCATCAATTGTTTTATCATAAAGGCATCTGTTGCATTTGAAGAATTCACCATAGTCTTCTGTTGCTTTTTCTTCTGTCATTCCATAATTATTCATTATAGTTTGCTTCACAACCATTTCTTAATATATCTTAACAACTTCTTTTTATGTGATTTTTATGTGATTGTCTAGCTATGTTTTATAGGTTAAAAGTTCGCTATAATTATAACATATAAGATTTTACATGTTATAATTATGGTTTAGTTATGAATTACACAGGTTCATCAACAATTAGTTTAAACCTTATGTTTTGTACTCCTCCAAAATTCATTCTACTTCTTTCATCATCAATACATCTGTATATTGTTTGATGTGCCTCCATCATTACTTCTGTTATATTATCTATGGTTATATTATCTACAAAATCATCACTACGAAAATAAAAACTAAAAGTGTTAAAATGGTTGTCTTCATAATTGAAATGATGAAACCTTACAAACATATTTACCTCAACTATTATCACTGTTTCATAACCGTTATCGGTTTCAATGCCATCTAACAAGCAATCTAAGTTTTCATTTTCATTAAAAACTATATCTTTGATGCTTTTTATGCTTAAAGGTATATTTCTTGAAATGTAATACTCAATTACGTGTCTCTTTATATCATCGCCATCTTCAACAGTATAGCGCTTTGTCTTTCTTTTTGTTTCTGTTCTGTCTATTTTATATCGTTGTTGTATTCTCTTTAATGTCTTAATATGATTATGTTTTATTTTCAAATACTCAGGTTCTCCTAATTTATATGAAATGATACCTTTTAATACATCAACAGGTAAGCTAGCACAATTCTTAACCATAAAATTATTATCTGATATTTTACCCCCACTCATTTTTCTCTTAATATGTTATGCTATTTTTTCTTTAAGTAGTTTTGACTAGGGGGTTGCTGGTCAGCTGGTCTGGGTTTCAGGTTTAATTTAAATGTCTGTGTGAGCCAGACCTTGCTGTGCGAGCCAGACCTTACTGTGTGAGCCAAACCTTGCTGTGTGAGCCTGACTGTGTTGTGTGAGCCTGACTGTGTTGTGTGAGCCAGACCTTGTTACTTGAGCCATTCTCCCCTTAATTGGGGAGTTCGCCCCCCTTAATTGGGGAGTTCGCCCCCCTTAATTGGGGAGTTCGCCCCCCTTAATTGGGGAGTTCGCCCCCCTTAATTGGGGAGTTCGCCCCCCTTAATTGGGGAGTTTACCCACCGTTTTCAAATCCAATGATATAACATTATAACCGAGCGACTTTGCTACTTTACCAACTGAAGAAGTACCACTAAATAGTTCTAATAAGTGCATATATTATTAGAACTATTTAGATATTAATATTTTCACATACATATCGTTGATGTTTTTCAGTTCTCTCGTGTCTTCTTATATCACATTTCCTGAAAACACCACCACATTCACATTCAATAGGTTCTTTTCGTTTTTCCAATATTGTTTCTTTGTTTTGGTGGTAGTGCTCCCTACTTTTATTACATATATGTTCTTTGTTGTTTTCTGCGTATTCCTTCCTCATATTTTGATAGTGTTCCTTATTGTCTTCCTTCCACTCATTAATTGTTCTACCTACCACACATCTATTCACACAATCATTATTTTGAATGTAATAACCTTCTCTTTTCATTAACTGTTCTCTGTTTTCACATGGGTAGTCTTCTAATAATTCAATCTTACAGTTGTCCATTCCATATTCATCAAACAACAAACGACAGTTTGTTTTATTATTCCATTGTTCTGCCTTGTTATAATTTTGTCTATGTCTTGCCATTCTTTGGCTCAAGCTTTCACAGGTGCTTCCGATGTAGCACTTATTATAACCAACATCTGTTATTTTGTAAATCTTTGCGTTTTTATATTTACTGCTATCCATTAATAACCTTAGTTATCTTTTCTTTAACGCAGTTTATAATGTCCATAAGGCAGTGAATTGAAAGCATCAATGTAAAACCTTTTATTTTCATAATTACTGAGTGATTGCTTGACTTGAGACATTGAAAATAATTGATGGTTGCGACTACGAATAAAATTATATGTTATTTCATGCTTTTTGTTTTGAAATAATGCTTCGTGGTAGTTTTGGTAAGTCAGTTCTTTCTTCACCTTGTGTTTCACTACACCTTTTGATTTCTTTTGTTCTTCTTCTTCACCGTGTATTGTAAAAGCATACGATTTAGGCTTTAACCCTATGAATTGTGTTATTGTTTGACCGTTGCACTCATCCTTGAAATAACCGAGTTTTTTCTTATTTGTTTTGTCATGGCAGGGGTGTTCAGGTGGATAATCGCTAAAGTCCATATATTGGTTTAATTCTTTGAAGTCCTTGTAGATGTCCTCAGTGAATGTTTGAATTACATAACTGTCAGTATCAGTATAAACCAGTTTGATGTTTTCATTGTATTTCTTCTTAAGAACATCATAGTAGAACTGATACATATGTAATTTACTGATGTCAAGGATTGTCATTCCTAAGAAAATCGGTTTGTCCAGTTTCAGCTTCGCTTTAGTTTTTTCAACTCCTACAAGGTTTTCATTAATAATAAATCTATTTTTGAATGTTGGATTATTAACACATTTTTCGTATCTAACTTCATTATCAACTAATTCAAAGTCCATATGATTTCGTTTGTCTTCCATAGTTTTTCCATACACAGAATTATTCATTAATTTGAATAAATCTTTCTCAAAATCGCTTTTGGCTTCTTTCCTTTTACCAGTGTTAAAATCAATCCACGGTTTCAACCATGCCCTCTGTTGAAATTTTATTATCCTATGGACTTTTGTCATTTTCATTCCCATTTTCAAATAATACTGTAAAGTCTTGATATGAACCACATATTTTTCTTTATCCTTTAGATTTAATATTAACTTACTTGTTTTCTCATCCTTGGGATTTTTGCCATCATAATATATTTTGTAGACTTGCTTTTGATAATCAGAAAGCATACTAACATTTACATTCATTATTTCAGGCGCTAGTGGATAGTCAGAGTGGAAGTCGTGCAATGTTTCGGGATATTCCAAATCAACTTCCATAATATAACCGAACTCATCGTTTTCATTCCATTTTCAACACTGGGCGTTTTCTTTGCCCACTTGATATTTTTTAGCGGTAATTTCTGGGACATTGCTAAACCATACAAGTTATTAGCATCCAAGTAGCTAATATAATTTGATGGCTTGTTCTCATCATATGCTTCCCCCATATACTTATTATTTGCCACCGCTAATTTATGACTAACCTGACACATACCACCTCTCATTCCCTTTTCAACCATCTCAAACATTTCTTGGTCATGCAATTGTTCTATTTCAACACCAGTTTTTAGAAGCATCGCGTCCCATGCGAAATTTGGCAACGTATAATAATGAGCGGGGTCTAAACCGTAGTATTCCATACACAAGTCTCTAAAGTTTTCAAATACATCGGTCAGTAGTAAAACATCAGTTCTTAAATACAAGTCGTGATACTGCCCGAGTGTTCTAATCCCGAAGTGCTTCCATACTTTCAGTGCCCTTTCATAATCTTTATCACTTACATGTTCCTCACTTAATTTACTGTAAAACGCTTCTTTCGGTGGTAAAGCCCTTTCCTTAAATCTTTCAAAATCATCAAAGTAGTCATAGGGATAAATACCCTTATCAGTCAATAAATCCAAATCTTCATCGGTTTTAACATACGGGTTTCTAACGCTGTATCTGAAATTGTTCTTCCAATTCTCACGCTTTTTATCATCCTCATATTTACTCAACCTGACCAACTTATCCAACGAAGACGATAAGAAACTGAAACTGTCCTTGAAACAAAGATTTTTAAAACCAAAGGTTATAAACTTTTCGCTGTTCTGAGCGATACATTCTATTTTAGAATTCTTGTTCAGTTCGTGAGCCTTGTTGATGATTAAGTGGGCATCATAGTTTTTAAGGTTATGAAGAAACACAGGGATTTTATAATATCTCATACTAAATCGTAGATTGCAGTCCTCGTGGGCGCATCCTCTATACTGCCCCGTAAAGTGGCAATGGTCCCAACACTTCTTTTCTCCTTCCTCAAATTTGTTTCCACAAATGAAGCAGTTAGTGGCATTATTGAAGTCCTCCCAGTCCTTCTCGGTTTCAATACGGTCTTTGTCCTCCTTCATTTTCTCCAAAACTTCCTCTCTGACTTTATTGATTTTCTCAACAAATTTATCCATACAATCCTGACCTCTGTATAAGTAAGGCTCACTACTTCCGGTTATAGCATTGACTACATTAATCATAAAACCACACGGACGATGATTTTGATATGATGTAGTTTTAGCTTTTGC